CGCACTGGCTAGCGCTGTACTTTACTATGCCTCTTTCCCCTTTATGTATCCGACTTTAAATTCTTATTTATTCACATTTTCATCGTTGTGATATGCGAATTTGAACTACGTTCTGTCGCACACGTCGCGCCGGTTTTTTTCAAAATGCATTTTACTTTAATTAATTGGAAATTCACTTGTTCAGGACGATTGCTATTGCTTGAAATCAGTAAGAAACGAGGTGCGATTTGAAAGCGCTGCACCGACAACCTGCGCGCCATGTCTAAGAAGGCTGTGAGTTTTTCTTTCGTGCCTTTTTTTCCTTCGTTAGTTACCAGCGGTTAAAGGCATTTTATCCTGAGGGAGTTCTGCTCTTGAAGACTCGTAGGGAAAGCTGAAATTCGCCTTGGATGCCATACTTTTCATGGACGAAGTATAAACAGTCAAATTGCTTTTCACGTTTTTGAGGAAAAGCGATGAATGTGTTGCCAATTGCCCCGTCGCTGTGTTTCCCCTTTTTCCGCATATTGCTCTTACGTTACTCATTAGCGGTCGATTTTTGTAGGTGAAGTTGGCTAATATTCGGAGAATGATAAGTGATTTTGTCTCGCTCTCATTCCCCTCCACCAATTCCACCTTTTCCTTCTCAAAATTTACACAGTCCTTGTGAATTAGCTTAAAACATCATTCTCGAAAAGGGCTTTCCAAACAAGAAATGTCGCCTGAAAAATGCAGGAATGAAGCAATTAAGAATTAGCAGTGTGAAAGCAAATACAATAAAAAGTGCCTAATTTTTCGCCTCTTCTTTTCTGTTCCTCTATTATTAAGCTTGCGCATTTGATTATAGCCTAAGGCACTGTAGGCAGTGAATAAGAGCATTGTGAGACTTCGTTTCCTCGTCCCTGAAGGGGAAAATTAGTCTGCCATCTTCGAAGTAATTTTGTCCAGCTTTTCATTACGTGTCATATGAGAGAGCTGCTTCAGCACTGAGGCATTTTGTAACTTCTAAAAAAAAAAAAGTTTAGTGAGTCGGTGTTATTCAAGGATATAACTTCAGATTAATGTACGGGTGACGACCATGGATGCGGAGCTGGAGTTCGCGATTCAGCCGAGCACCACTGGTAAGCAGCTGTTCGATCAGGTCGTCAAAACCGTTGGCCTTCGTGAAATTTGGTATTTCGGGTTGCAGTACACTGATACAAAAGGCTTTCTCACTTGGCTTAAACTCAACAAAAAGGTTGGTGGTTTTGACGATAAACTACACACTGTTTTTGTTTACCTTCCGCAGCGTATAGTTTACAATGTACTGGATGTGTGCGTGTGTGTGTGTGCGTGTGTCTGTGTCTGCGCTGTGTGTTAGTGTGTGTGAGTGTATGTGTGTGTGCGTGTTAGTGTATGTATGTGTGTATATATACGTGTATGTGTGTACATGTGTGCTCGAGTGTGTGTGTTTTACAGTCTCTTGCATTTGTCATATGTTTTTTAAAATTTCTTCGAACTTCACTCCAAACGCTTACGTGAGCATCACGTATACGAGCGTATGCGTGTGTACAAACACATGCATTCAGTATAGGGATGATGTTGTCGGATTAAGGGCTCTTTCTTGTATTGAACATTAAACTCGAAGAAATGTGTACGACACGTGTTTTTAAATAGTTAACAGAATTAGCGGTGTTCAGTTATCAGAATTTGAAACGGGCAGTGGATTTTTCGGCAAATCTCGTCAGCCCTGATGCGATATTCAGCCCATTTAAGCGAATTCACTTTATGGATTTGTTGTGGAAATTTCATCATGGTTGTGCCTTTTCCCCTGTATCCTCCCGATCAGTCGATGGTCACAATGATTTGGTGTTCCGCTTGCAGAAAGAGCTTCTCCTTGCCTTCAATTATCCACTGTTGGAAGCACATGTTTTGTCTGTTTAGGTGACAGCACAGGACGTAAAGAAGGAACAAACACTATTGTTCAAATTTCGTGCCAAATTTTATCCGGAAGATGTTCAGGAAGAAATTATTCAGGACATTACTCTTGTAAGTTTTCCAGTGCCTTTTGTAAGATGAATCAATTGTGTGATATGCGCCTGATTGGCGTTTCGTATTAGGATAGCCTTCGATTTTTTAGCTTTATTTGTTTTTCTACGATTTTTACACTAAATTTATTGAATAATTTGTCTAACTAGTTCTGGAGGAAAAGTTGGTGAAGGTATGTAATAGCTTGTACTGTAGATCCGGGTTTATCGATGCAGTTCAACGTCTCTGTTCTATGAGAATGCAGCGCAAAACCGATTTTATTACTGTACTGACTATTCCCACTCCTAGCCGTACGCATAGTCCGGTCTGTGTTTACAGCTAAGGGATGAAACACGGACTGCATCGAAAAATATCACCTCACTACACCTGAAGGATAAAGGCAGTTTGCACCATAAAGTATCACCTTACACATGACGCATGTGTACAGTCCTGTTGGTCTATTATTTCATATTTTCAGTCTCAACTTTAGAAATATAACTACAAATCCACAACAAATTATTATTCGTAAACAGCGCGATGACTGTTAACGTTGTTTTTACGTTGATGATCGAGGAAGGGTTCGGCCAGTCCCACCTGAAGAACAAACAAACAGTCGTCTTCTCACAAATCGGTCATTCGTTTCGATGGTAAATTGGCGCGGGCGGCATATACTTGAGGGTTGAAACCCTTTTTTGGCTTGCTCAAAAAAAAAACCATCGAGAGAGAGAGCAGCACCGGCAGAATTGCCAGATTTTGTTACCATACGGGGATTTTTAGTTTTTATTTGCTTGCACTGTATTTAAGAAGGGAATGCGGAAGGAAGTTTTGATTTTAGGTCGTTTTTTTTTCCTTGGTTCCCACACTTTTTAAACTTGTTGAATCTCACTTCCAAAGTTAGTACCCCATTCATAGGACGTTGCTCTTAAAAACTTTTGTATTATTACGCACACCTTTTTATGTTTGTTTTTCGAAGGATCGCTGGAGAAAATTGTATGAGTTGAATAACCATCTGATTGCTTTAGGGAATGTGGTACTTTCAGCTGGTTTTTTTAACATAACAGAGAAGGAAGGCAAGAAAGCGCTTGTCTGATCAAGTAACTTTGATCCCAACAGCCATAAGAAGAGCTTCCAAAAGCATTAATGTTTTGAAGGTGCTCGAGTAGAGGGTTTTTCCTCCTTCCGCGCAAAATCTTTTCCTCGCTTGAGTCTGTTGTTTCATCGCAATACCTCTGTGTGCCGTTATTTCGTCCCTGGCTCTCTGTCTGTGGTTGTTATTTCCAAAACTACAGCAGCATCACTTTGTGGACATTTTGTGGTGCGATCCTGGCTGATGTTTTTCCGCTTGTTC